AACATAAAAAAAGTAAAGTCTGCAAATTATGAAATAAACTGAGCAGAAATTTCTGGTGATATCCACAACTGCAATAATTAATAAAAAAATATTTAAAGAAAAACAAAAAAACCCAACTGCTTAAAATTGAATTATAAAAAATACATGAAAAAATTAATTCAAATAAAAACTAAAAAGAAAGAAACAAGCCCAGTAACATAGAATACTGTTAAGTAATACTAAATAACTACACAATTGATATAGTTTTATAATCGATACACACATAAAACAAATCATAAATTCTAATGCAGAACACAATGACTCACAGTTGGGGTTGGGAAGATTTGATTGGAAAAATTTGATTAATTTATTTTGGGAAAATTTCCAAAAAACCATTGATATCTCAAGCTAGATATTGTTTTTAAAGCTTATAGCAAAATTAGTGAAAAAAAGCTGAACCAATGAAATTTTGTTATTTAAAAGTGTGTTTAGTATTTAACTGATAACTAGCTATGACTAGTCTGGATACTAAATATTTGTCTGCTTGTCAACTACCATATAAAACAAATTATTATTGAAAGAGAATATATAAAGACATTTTTCTAGGTCATGGGAAAAATTGGATCAGTGAAAAGAAGAAAATAAAATAAACCAGATTTGATTTAGATATGTGTAAGTGTTAAGAGACTGTTGCAATTTTATGATTAGCAATAAACAATACATGAAGTATATCTTCTTTTAAAGAATACATGAAGCATATCTTTTTTTACTTATTATAGTTAGATTCCAGGTCAGATAAAGAGTTATTAGGTTTTCTCCGGTGGATCAGGTGCAAGTTGGTGCAAAAAGTGAAAGACTAAGTCTATATTTTTAAACTTTATCAATGTATTATTTTTATTAGGGTTACAGTAATGATAATCATGATATAACTTTTTCAAGTCCTTGTATTGGGCCCTTTATTTGATACCCATAATGTAGTATTTGAATATTTTTTTTATCATTTAATATAATGGCATCGCACAGAAGTAATATTTGATTTTTTTTTTATGTTACCTAAGAACACTTGGGTTACTAATACAAATCTAATTATGTATAAATATTACATACATACATACAAGACATGCGCAAAACACATAACCCTTCCTTTAAAGTTAGGTAAAAACAGATTAGACCCATACTTATATGTTGTTTCAACTGCCTGCCAAGTTACTACAATAATAGTGAATAAATGAAACCTATATAGAAATCACCAGTAACAAACCACTACTTCTGCGCCTTTTGCGCAGCCAGACAAAAATCACCCACCTTTTTTTGCGCTTATATCGGTTAATAAAAAAAATCATATAAAGCTAACAATACAAGAAACAAATTGGATTTTAAAAATGGCAATTACAAGGATATTAACCGGGATATGCTTACAATTGATTGCCATAAATTGTTTTTAAATTGTAATGCAGAAGCTACAGTATCTATTTTTTATGAACACATATATAGTCTTATAAGGAAACACATACCCACCAAAATTATTAAGTCTTCTAAATATCCAGTATGGTTCTCGCCAGCTTTAGTTCACATTCAAAAAAATAAAAATCGAGCATGGATTAAATGGAAAAAGTTTCAGAACCGCACTGACTATGAAATTTTCTCTGTTTATAGAGCAAGGTTCAAAAAGGAATCACACAAATGTTTTAAATCTTATATGGAAAAGGTAGAGAAAAGCATTCAAGATAATGTGAAGTATTTCTGGACTTTTGTGAATAATATGAAAAGGAAATCAGATTTGCCCGAGTCAATGTCATATAAAGATGAAACTGCCAATAACCCAGAGGGAATTTGTCATTTATGTTCGAATTTTTTTAAATCCGTTTTTGAACCAAGTTCTGTAGGCGATGACTGTGACGTGGACTGTGTTCGGGATTCTAATCCTAATTCTGACATTATCATCAGTTCTCTGATGATATCCGAGGAAAAGGTATTGGAGGCATTGCGTAGTCTTGACACAACAAAAAGTCCGGGTATTGATAATGTAGCCCCTCTATTTCTAAGGTTGACTGCTGAAACAATAAGTTATCCCATACATCTTATTTTTAATAGGTGCCTCAACGAAGGTACGTTCCCTGTTATTTGGAAATCTGCACGAATTGTTCCTGTTTATAAATCGGGCGATAAGTCCAATATAGAAAACTATCGTCCCATATCTATTCTTTCTGTCCTGGCAAAGCTTTTCGAAAGACTTGTACATGATCAAATTTATCCAACATTACATAATATTATCATACAAGAACAACATGGCTTCGTTAAACGTCGATCAACTATTACTAATCTACTACTGTATGTATCAGATGTGTTTGATAAAATTGATGCCAATAAACAAATAGATAGCGTTTATACAGATTTTAGAAAGGCTTTTGACAGGGTGGATCACAAAATACTGCTTGAGAAATTGGCTTTTAACGGTATTCGCGGAGATTTGTGGCGCTGGTTTAAGTCCTATATAATGAATCGCAAACAGGTGGTGGTAGTCAGTGGTTGTGAATCAGTGTGTTTCCATTAGTTCCGGAGTACCACAGGGTTCTATACTGGGTCCGCTCTTGTTCAATATCTTTATAAATGATATACACAAATGCTTTAAGTTCTGTGATTATCTCTTGTATGCAGATGACTTGAAAATCTTTCATGAAATTAACAATTTCGAAGACCACCTGAGATTTCAAATGGATCTTGACCGTTTTACCGCATACTGTGTAAATAATAAACTCAGTCTTAGTATCAACAAGTGTAAAAGTATTATATTTACAAAGAAAAGGGCAAAAAGTGTCTTTGGTTACAAATTATCTAATACGAATATTGAAAATGTTGAACTCATTAAGGACCTGGGAGTCACACTTGATTCAAAACTACACCTAAACATACACATTGATAACATCATTAAAAAAGCCTTTAAGATGTTTGGTTTGGTTATGCGGGCAAGTAAAAACTTTACTAAGTCATCTACTCTGATGTACTTGTATTGCTCACTGATTAGACCTCAACTCGAGTATGTTGTACCCCTCTGGAATCCCTTCTATGATAAATATATCAAAGCTCTTGAAAGCGTACAGAAAAAGTTCCTTCAGTCTGTGCAATACCGGTGCTATCGTAGCCGTCTAACTTATTTGCAACTCTGCAATAAATACAACGTCCTAAGTCTCAAAAACAGGCGATTGATATTGGATGCAAAGATACTCTACGATATATGCCACAACAAGTACGACTGTGTCTCATTGGTGGGTAAATTACATTACAGGGTTCCTACTAGAGCCCATATCCGAAAACCTACTGTATCCTTTGCAACTAGCAGATGCCGCACCAATGCTGGAATGCGTTCACCTTTTCATCGCTTAGTACATTCTTACAACGGGTTTTTCAGCGCGATAGATATTCATAACTTGCGACCAGGATGTTTTAAACGCGAATTGTATAAAGCACTGTCTGACACATAAAGCTATGTAATGAAATTGCCAAATTATTCAATGATTTCATGCTCAATCTCTTCTTGGATAGATCATTGTCAGGTATCACCGTTTGTTACATTTCATATATATTAATTGTGGTGGATGTCATTGGTGGCAAAATTATCAATTTGTTTTGTTATGTCTGCGTGTAATATATATTGTATTTTGTCACTGTTTGTCTTACCCAAATAAATAGAAAAAAAAATATATATATACTTAAATGCTGAAATGGTGTATCCATGCCAGCTCACAAAAACTGAATTACATCAACGTCTCTTTGAGCAAAACTAACTGTTTTGTTTTTCATCTTGATAAAAGATATAACATATTCTTACAAAAGATAAAATTCTTTTAATTAATCTATACTATTTATAAGTATGCATGTCATTTAACAATCTGTCACAGAAATCATCAACAATCATTTAACAACAAAAATATATTTAATATAAATAGTACACTGAAGGGTTTGCATCCATGGTTCATCATTGAATTTAATATGTAAATAATTTCACTTATTTATGATGATGATTTTTAGCAAATGTGGATTTCCTAATTCATTTGATTACTAGTTACAATAAAGGTATTTTTAATTACAAAGAAAGAGCTTTTATGTGTTTTGTGGAACAGAAAAGCTACCATTGTTTGATATATTAAATGAAAGTGCTTATTGTGAGAATATCGAAAATATTAAGAAAAGTTTGCACTAGATAATATAAAACATTAAATTATTCTGTATTGAGTGAACATATTCCTCCTATATAAAACTGACTACTAAAATTGTTATTTATTCTTCTGTTTTCTAAACAAAAAATGTGATATAGTAGACTCAACAGCAAATAAGTAGGTATTCAAAATTTATAAAATAGGTTATGAACATATTTTGTTGGTCCTTATGAACAGACTATTTTTCAGAACAATAAATACTATTATGCTGTTCATAACAATGTTCTGAGATTTTTGTCATTGCATTATGTATGCAAATCTATAAATCAAAATGAATATAAACACTATTACCATGAAACTCAGAAATCAACCAAATAACCAAATTTACCTAAAATCAGTTGTAACACTCACATGAAACTTGATGTTACATAGTAACAATATGATAAATATTGTTTCAAAGTTTTAAACTTCGTTCATCTATCTAACATTTATTAAGTTGAATGGCTACAACAATATATTTTGATATTATGGTTGTTGATTGCACAAAAAATAACCTCCATCCATATGTTCAAGGCTACAATGAAACCTTGGTAAAAACTCGAGTTTTCTAATCTAAATAAATTTAAAATTTATGAGTTAATAAGACACTAGAGAAATAACTGTAGTTGAAAAAAATATATATAAATACGCATTTTTATTTCCTACCTACCTAAATACAATGACGTCATTGCATTGACAGTCAATATTCCATGGTAAACAATAAATCATTCAAAAATTTACACCAACACCTAATAAGTGTATATAGCATAACGCTTCAATCGAAATAATTTTAATATATAAATAAAAAATAATAAAAGAACTCACGCAATATCTATTTAGATAATAAAACATAAAGCCCGCAGGGCTAACCACGATCACTGGTTGACAGCATAACTAAATAACATGGCGGCATCTTGTCGCAGCCGGTGCACCAATGTTTAGATTCCTTTACAACATTTCACACTGGTTTGGAATGATAAACACACCAAAATAATTTTACGTTAATAACACTAACCAGAACTAAATCAGAATACTCAAGTTTGTATCACACACCAAAACCAAAATGACGTAACATTCTGAACCTTCACGGTCGCCCAGTAGGTAGGTGTAGAAATGATACAAGAAAATATTGTTTTCATACACAACCTAAGTCGTGTTGTGGTTAATCAATTCTTTGAATGTTCACTTCATTAGAATAAACAATGTTATTGTGTTGTAATAGTCCACATAAAATTTTTAACAAAACAAAATTCATACGCGTTTTTATTTTTCGTACACAGACACAGAACAAACGTGACACGCAGTCAAGCTAGTTTGAGTCTTCGACATTAGACACTTTTTTTAATTTCGTAATAGACTTGGATGTTGGCGCTTTGGCTTTACATATAAAAATAGTTACTATATATATTTAAGCAAAGTGTGTCCTGGAAAAGATTTTTTTTGTTAATATTGACAAAGAAAAATACTTATAATACTACTTTATAAATTATTTACTATATTTTATTACAACCAATTTCTCCATTTGATTTCAAACCTTTAAAGTTTTTGGGTAGAGTTTAAAATAAACTGAATCAATTAAATATATTTTGGTTAATTAAATTACAATAATATATGAAATATTGGTACAAACTTTGAAAAATTGCTATCAAGGGGCTTGCCAGTTCTGATATAATACTTACTGTATACGGTATATCCTAAAAGTAAAAGCTAACCACATGCAACTATCAATAACAGTCCTGTAATGCGATTAACAGATTGGCTTTAATTGTTATTTTGATAGTTCACAGATAAGAGGATAATCGTACCTAACTTGACGGTTAATTTGTTTATAAGACGTCAATTTATATTGCATTCTTTGCATTTTGCGCATTATTTTGCTGATTACCCCAAAAAAAATAAAACAAATATATGGTGGAAGTATAATAGTTATAATAATCCATAAATTATAAAATATTAAATATTATAATCGATCAAATAATGCTATCCATATTTTGGAGTGAGATCAGTATCTATGGAGTCCCGAACAGCAAAACGCATTACTTAACAAAAATTATGTATAGCGATCAGAGACTAACAGACTATAGATCTAATAATGTTTAATTAACATAATAATAATAATAATAATTCAATCGATAAGCACCGTTTCTCTAGCACTAGCATATAAAAGTCTCACAGAATCACAATATCCGCCTCCACGCCTCGAACCAGTCACTGTAACATAGGCATCCCCGGCACGAAGAATACGTTTTGTTTTACAGTAGTCCAGAGCAGCCCGAATTCTTGATTCTACTTCAGAATTCCAACTTCCTCCAACAACTTCAAAATAATGAACCGCTCTTACCCCACGCCAAAATCGCAGCTGCCTTCCAGTATGGCAGACCCGAGTAACTGCTACTATTGGGCAATGTGGCTTAGCATGTGAAAGAATTTTTGCAGTTCGCCCTGAGTTCGTAAGGCACAAAATTACAACTGCTCGTGATCGCATTGCAAGTTCCACAGCACTAAGACATACGGCTTTTGTGGGTTCCTCCAGCTGACATTGCATTAATTCCATATTACCATAAATTCTTGGCTGCCATAATACGCGCTCCGCCTCTTTACTGACTACTGCTGCAGCAGCTAAACAATGCTCAGCCATACGTATAGAATCATAAGATTTTGAAAATTTATTTAGCGGTGAATTGTAATTAAGTTCTAAATATATAACATCTACACCATCAATCACGAGATTAGCAACATCAGTGACACTTAATGTAGGTATCTGTTCATTTATGACTGCTTTACATATACATGGTTTTCCAATATAATTACATTTCGCTAAAATGACTTTGTGTGCTATGAATATTTTTTCTATAGGCAAATCAGTGCTCAAGACGCAGCGGTCGAGATAAATACCATCTGCTTCTTTTAAAATATCATCAATGTTATCTAAGCCACGAACTGTTTCTATGCATGCAAAGACAAGAACATGTTTCCCTTTTTCAGATAATATATCTTTTACTTGGCGAACGTCATAGGAACTTTGTACACTTGGAACTAAAAGTGCATCTACATCAGCACCAACTGCCCATGCGATTTGTTCATCCATATGTTCAAACAGTTGTTGCGAAGTGTTGCTACATGAAATTGTTTGTAAGCTATCGCCCTTCCCCTTTTCTAAAGTATCTATTTCTTGTGGGACATGAACAATTCTAACAGTCATTTTTGAACCTATGACACCTCCAACTGCTATAGAACATTCTACCGAATCGTCACCTACATCAGAAACTACTAACTTTATTTTTCCAGGGGATAAACTATCAATATAAATTATGTCCTCTATTTGCAAGTCTGTTAAATTATCATATCCTACATAAAGGCAGTCAGACGTACCAGATTCTAGCCAGCTAATATCAGACGATAATCTGATAAAATTATTTTGAACTAATTCTATCGTAGCCTTAGGGCCTGACTTTAAATCTCCTGTAACAATATCAGGGCCCCGTACATCCATTACAATGGCTAGAGGATATACATATTCTAATTCAGCACTATAGTTGTAGACAGCTTGCCGTATACTTTGAATCAATTGTGCACAAGCATCGGGTTCCAGATCTCTCAAATCTATTCTTGCTACTGTCATACCACTTGCTATTAGTCTTTGAATAATGGTTGGTTCACGATTATCTGTCCCAATACTGCACATAATGCCGGTTTGTAATTCTTCAATGGGATTCTCATGAATTTTAAGATTACAGTAATGTTTAAGCAAAGATGGCTGTGGCTGCGATTCTTTTTCTTTTAAATTAGGTGCCGACTCTAATGGAATATGCCATGGCAATGCCATCGCTTTAATTTGACAATATAAAGATAAAAATCTGAAAAATTTAAAGTTGTAAGCTCTATTTAAATATTACAAACTCATATAAACCTGTAAAAAAAAAAAAAACTGATATATTGCATATTTCTGTTTGATTACCACATGCAAAGAGTATAGACATTTAAATAGAAAAATCTATGTACACGGCTGCACGCCAGGTTACAATATCTCAAATTACTGCAATAGATTTTGATTTCTAGCTTCAATTTCTTATGGTTTAAAATAGGGTGGGGTAATTTGACAGTTTATGTAACCTGACGTGCAGTTGACAGTACTTAACAAACCAATTTATTAATCTTCTTGAATGAACCCTAAATTCTGAGCCCAAGAAATTTTAATAAATATATGCACTTCTTGTTATGAGTTTTGAGCCCTACACCCAAAGATACACCATGGACGTAGGACTAATATAACAGGACCGAGCACTCTAAAAAGCGCAACTAAAAAGCGGGCTCAGTGAGATATCAAGTACAGAGGCTATTTGTCTCTTTCATATAGGGTGACAATAACATGTTCATTAAGTGAGACTTTTGCATATAGTCCAGTTTTTTAACTACCGCATGCCTACACAATTATCTTGTAAAACTTTTTGTTACAATAAATCTTATTTTATTTTTATTATTTATTTTAAATATTTGTAGTCTCTTCATTCAATTAGATATTGCGAATTTGGTGAGCGAAATGTTTGGAGCATTGCAAGTATTTATTTACTCATAAAATAACACAATCTGTCAATATCAGTCACAATGAATAGCATGTATGTACTCATGGTTTGCGATATCACTTCATTTGTATAAGATCTCGACCAGCTCATTTACTTTCGGTTTTCAATTCAGAAAATTGAGGAGCGATATCAGTTGCGCAATCTCACATGCACTAATTTTACCAAATCATCAGATTATATTTAATTTGACTAAAATATCGCTAAATAAACATGTGAAAACCTCGATGGTTTAGTGATTAGCGTGTTTGATTTACGATTGCGGAGGTTAAGCGAAGATTTAGGACGACAACGTTGGTCCAGTACGGATTACTGGGTAGATTAATTTCATCCCGGTGCTTTAGTACTACCAAACTGCATTGCGTGAGCCCAGTTAGGAATGCTGGATGGATTGGTTTCATTCATGCATTAAGAATATCTGTGCTTTAACGCCATTAATGCGTATTGTGGCCTACACTCAGGCCAAGTAAGGAATGCCGGGTGGATTGGCGAACCACAAACAAGTTTACAATAAACTTAATGCTAAAAGTTACATAAATTAGGACCTATTGTACTTATTGTAAATTCAATATCGTTGGTTACATTTAAATACAAGTATTCTAGTGCAAACTGAAGATGCAGATTCTTTGCAAGACTCATACAACTTATGTTTAAATTACAATTAAAACTATTTATATAGAACCAAATCATATTCAAAAATTCTATTACATCCATGTACAGTGAAACAGAGATTTGTGCATATTTATATGTGTCTTTTCTTTAATTGAGTGCATGTTTGTGTGCGCATATATGATCTCTAGTATAGGCATGTGTGTGAATGTGTGTATGTGTGTATGTGTGTGTGTGTGTGTGTATGCGAGTGTGTATATTCGAGACTGTCAGCAAATGCAAAAATAAAACTATCAATGAAGTGTTTAAGTTTTCAACAAAATATCAACTATTTGTTTTTTGTATGACCCTACACTAGAAGAAAAAATGTCTACTGTACAAAATCTTTTATTATAAGTGTCAACTATGCGATTTAAAGGAGAGCGAATACCAGCGTTTGTGCGATGACTAGGAATAGCGAATAGCGATCTAGATCTCACCGACCTTATACGTGCGCGTGTTGGTACCGAATACATGATACGATTAATGATATCAATACTATCGTACTTGTTATTGCATAGGTCGTATAATAACATGGCATCAAGTTGAGCTCGTCTGGATCCAAGATCTAAAAGTTTGAATTTTTGCAGAAGTGACTCATAAGACCGGCGTCCACGGAAATATTTATAAGAAATTCGTCGCAAAAATTTTTTCTGCACCATTTCAATACTATTATTATATTTGTCATATAATGGGTTCCAAATCGATACTCCATACTCCAACTGTGGTCTTATAAGGGATTTGAACAGGTATATAGACGTAAGGGGGTTTTTAAATTCAGTGGTTGCTCGCATAACAAAACCATAGATCTTGAATGCTTTTGCAATGATGTTTTGTATATGAATATCAAAATGCAATTTATTGTCGCAAGTGACCCCAAGATCCCGAATAATGCTGACTCTGTCGATCTCATGATCACTAAGAATGTAAGTATTATTTATTAGTTTCTTTTTTTTTGTGAAAGTTATTATTTTACATTTGTTTATATTGAGTTGAAGGTTATTAACACGACAGTAGTCACTGAATCTGTTAAGATCTTCTTGTAACAAATTGCGATCTTGTGGTTCTTCAATTTTTCGGTATATTTTAAGATCATCAGCATATAATAGAAATTTGCTATATTTAAAACATTTATTTACATCATTTATGAAGATCACAAATAGAAGAGGACCCAGTATAGAACCCTGTGGGACACCGGAAGTAACATGAGATACTTGTGATTCTGAACCTTTAATCACGACTTTTTGTGTTCTATTAGATATATAAGATTTGAACCATCGCCAAAGATTTCCATGTATACCGTTAAAAGCTATCTTCTCCAATAAGATTCTGTGGTCCACTGCATCAAACGCTTTTCTGAAGTCAGTGTAGATACTATCGATTTGTTCATTGTTGTCAAGCGCGTTAAAAAGATCCGAAGTATAACTTAAAAGATTAGTTATTGTCGATCGACGCTTAACAAATCCATGCTGCTCTTTTAAAATTATATTGTGTAGATGTGGATAAATAGCATTGTGAACAAGCCTTTCAAATACTTTAGCGAGGACTGGTAGTATAGATATGGGACGATAATTCTTAACATCGTTCTTTGACCCATTTTTGTGTACAGGGATGATCCTTGCACTCTTCCAAATATTTGGGAATACTCCCTCATTCAAGCACTTATTGTATATATGCCATACGGGGAGATCAATATCATCTGCTGTTTCTTTGAAGAATGTTGAAGGAATGTTATCGGTTCCTGCCCCTTTTGTAGTATCTAAACCCTTCAAAGCCTTGTGCACTTCAAACCTGGTAAATTTTATGTCATGAATCACAATATTATTTGTATATTCATTAGTTAAGTCGATTTCATTAAAATTGAGGCTATTATGAATAGACGTTGAATGAAAAACAGACTGAAAGTATGCCTTAAATAGTTCACATGACTCTTCCGCGCTACGAGCAACAAGGTTGTCAAAATGTATGTTACTTGGTATGTCACAGGCATTACGACGTTGTGATATATATTTCCAAAAGTATTTAATATTTTCCTTCGAACTACATTCTACCTTGTGTATATAATTTTTATAACAAATTTCAGATAAAGATTTAAATTTTTTCCTATATATTGAGAAGACATAATAATTTGATTCAGTTTTATATTTTTTCATCAAAATCCACGCTTTATTTTTCTTTTTATATAATTGAATCAACGTTGGAGTAAACCATGCAGGATAAGAAGAAGTTTTAGTTAGTTTTTTAGGCACGTGGTGATTAATGATGGTGTTAATGAGGGTGTAAAATGTTGATACGGCTTCCTCAGCACATTTATGTAGAAACAAGTGATTCCAGTCAATTTTAGCTATATCTTGATTTATCTTGTTATAATCAGCGCTCTTATAACAGTACTTCAAATATTGTTTACTTTCTATATATTGATCGTTATCTTTTTTTGGAATTAGAACATAAAAAGGAGGATGATGTCTGTCCACGGGAAGTAAAGGATCCGAAACTGAGTAAATATCACAGCCGATTTTGTTTGTGAAAAACAAATCTAAGATACGATTATTGTGGTTTTTAAATGTGTTTAATTGATGGCAGCTTAAAGCTTCCATAAAATTGTTTACGTGTATGTGGATTTGGTTCAGGCCATCCAGACAAGGACGTTGAGTATGTGATTTACTGTTTATCCACTCTAAACTAGGTATATTAAAGTCCCCTACGATGAAAAAATTTGATAATGCGTTGCTTTCGTCCAGAAGTTTGTGCTGCAGCATATTGAGATATTTAGAGTATATATCATGGTTTTGTTTAGGTGGGATATAAACTACACCTATGCAATAACAACACTTATTTATTTTTAAATCAATGAGTATTTGATCAACAATGGGTGGGAGTAGGACGGTTGTATCCACAGCGGTCGGTACATAGACGACGGCGGCAGCGCAAAGTTCACGTCGAATCGCGATCAGTACCCCACCACCGTCGCCGCGATCAGACGTCACTCGATCCCGGTCGGCACGAAATACTATATATCGGTTATCGATATATTCGTTATCACTAATATCTGCATGCAACCATGTCTCGGTTAGGATAATAATGTCGTATGCTTGTGTAAGTATGTTCATGTGTAGTAAGTGAAGTTTTGTTCTAAGGCCTCGGCAGTTCTGGTAGTAAATAGATATTGTCTCAGCCATCTTTATTGTTTATTTTAAATCGTGTTAATATATTAAAGTTACGATAATCATACATGTTGAACCATGCATTATATGATATAGACTTATTAGTTACATACCAGAATTGCCTCACTATTACAATTATGTTGACAGTAAAAAGATTATAATTATGTTTAATTTTATATTTTACATTTTGAGGTAATACATTATTTATTGTCAATACTTTACATGCAATTATATTATTTTGAACGTATATATAACTAAGATATTTCCAAGCATCGTGAAAAATTGTGAATGTCACCATGATTAAGTTGGTTGCAATAAAACACAGATTCGGATTATATTTTATGTTGTATCTTATTACGATTTCAGTTACCACATTATTTTTAAAAAATATTTGACATGCAATCACATTACATTTGGATGACACATACGAGTAC